TTTTTTTTTGATAAATGAAATTATATCTTATTTATTATCTTAGAGTTAGTGATAATTAGAATTAGGTTTATTGAATTATGTTGATTTTGGCATTTTCTCTTTATGATATAAAGTGGAAAGTCTATTCTTTAAAAGTTACTTTGTCTTCGACATAAATAAAATTACTTTGTCTTAAAAGACCATTCAAAGTCGTACCTGAGCTAGTCCTTCAACTGCTAATTCAATTGTTCTCTCTTAGAAAAGAACGTTAAACAGTCATTTATGTATAAGGGTATTCCATCTAAAATGATTAAATCCTTAATTTTTTTTATTTTATGGTTTCTCTGTATATACCCTCATTTCTCTTTGTTCATAAAAGGAAAAAATAAATAAAAACAAAAATAAAAGCTAGAGGAGCAATTGTTTAGACTAAAATATAATGGCCTCCCATATTCTGTAGTTTCTTTCAAACTTATTTTCTTTTCCAGCACCTCTTTCTTTTACTTTTCTCTTTGTCCATTTTGTGCCAGTGAGATCTGAGGTGTGGAATTGAGTTGATCTTTGCTTTTTTGTATTTTTGTATGATGAAGAGCCCACACACCAATAATTTCCACGCAAAGGAAGATTTTTAACAGGAATCTACTGCTTTAAGATGTTTGACTAATGTAATTGTATGGACCAGCTATTTTTAATTCTTGCACCTATTCAGAGTAATTATGTTTGGTAGTGTGAAACTAACATCAAACCTAGTCAGCTCCCAACTGCCGATGATGTTGAAAATAATAAATATAAGTAAATAAAATAATAACCTCTATGCAAACCATACGTTCTTTTCGCATGATATATGGTATAAACTTTTCCTCAGTGCTCTAGAGTAGGTGAACCTACCTTAAAGTGGAGACCATTCCAGCCCATTCCCTCTCATCTTTAGTAAAATAAAAGATTAAAAAAAAATTGTTTTCAAAAAAAAAAAAATATTTACTTAAGAAAATCAACTCTTGCTACTTAAATTCTAGCATGGTTGTTGTCATATAAAAAAATATCACACAAATTTCTAATCATTATCTTCAAATATTTTAACTTTGATTAGTTTGACTATTAAGAACAGCTGATTATTTGTTAATAGATTGAAATTAGTCTATAAACTACTGTTTTAAAACTTCATAACTTGCTGTTTAAGAAAAAAAAAAATTATGATTTATGCGCCCATAACATTTGGTTATGTGGCAATAATCAGTTCTGAACTTTTTTTTTTATTATCCATAATAAAATATTTTATTATAAACAGAGTACGAAGGTGTTCCAACCCTCCCTACGGTTTTGAAGCCCCCATCTCAAAAGTTTGTCAACTTTTGAATTATTACTATTAAGTGAAATGCAGTATTCTCTTAAACTTTAACTGTGAAGAATTTGTCATTAAACAACTTTAAAAATCCTTTACAGCTACGATAAGGTAAAGGCCTGTGAATGATTTGGCATTAAACAATCTTAAAATCCAATAAAGGTTATATCTCTTTTGATTATTCAAAATTTAAGTGCATCCAGCCATCCACTTTTGGATTATTTACCCTTTGGAATAACCTATGCATATTTCTCTTCTTGTTAGATTTCCTATCCTTCTTCCTTAAGCGTCATTTTTATGAATGAAGCTTTATTTTTATGTTGAACTAGGTATGGCATTGAGCAGGAATACACCCTCCTTCGGAAGGATGTAAAATGGCCACTTGGATGGCCTGTTGGTGGCTATCCTGGTCCACAGGTCTGTATTTTCACTGGACCTTTTTGGTTCTTTGGGTTCTGTTTCCACCATTTAACCAAGTTTTATATCCCTACAGGGTCCATACTATTGTGGAGTAGGAGCTGACAAGGCATTTGGCCGAGACATTGTTGACTCTCACTATAAAGCCTGTCTTTATGCTGGTATTAACATAAGTGGAATCAATGGTGAAGTTATGCCTGTTTTTTTTTTTTTTTTTTGGTATACCATTAAAGAAATTCTACAAAGAAGATTCTCACTTTTCATTAAATTTGTGTGTAAATTAGTGGGAATTCCAAGTTGGCCCTGCAGTGGGGATCTCTTCTGGAGATCAAGTTTGGGTTGCCCGATACATTCTCGAGGTGTGCTAATGCCTATCATCAAATATTATGTAGTTCTCTGTATGAGTTTTTTGATAACCTCTTTCATTTGCTTTGGTTGAACAGCGCATCACTGAAATTGCTGGTGTGGTTCTTTCTTTTGATCCAAAGCCAATCCAGGTTTGTTTCGATGCTGCAAATGAATTCTAGTTCCTCCTTTACTATTTCTATCCTTCTTTTCTTGGTTTTTTTATGCCTGTCTTCATGGTGATCATATTCTAAGTTTCTAACATTATATGTGATTAGGGTGACTGGAATGGGGCTGGTGCCCACACCAATTACAGGTAGATACTAAACCTACAATTTGGAAAGAACAAGCGATTGAGCATAGATGAAAAATTGAAAAGAGCACATAAATTATGAAGTCAATGAACTCAAAATTTCTTATCATTCATGTTCAGCACTAAGTCCATGAGAAACAGTGGTGGAATTGACGTGATCAAGAAGGCAATTGAGAAGTTGGGTCTTCGTCACAAAGAGCACATTGCTGCTTATGGCGAAGGCAATGAGAGAAGGTTGACAGGTCGTCATGAGACAGCAGACATCAACACCTTCTCATGGGTGTGTTTGATTTGGACACCTTTTTAGCCATTTATAACATTAGTTTATATAATTACCTTGACATTTCTTATTGTAAATTTTTGTTGATGAGGCTTCATTGTCCAAATTTCAGGGTGTTGCAAACCGAGGAGCCTCTATCCGTGTTGGTCGTGATACTGAGAAAGATGGAAAGGGTAATTATATATTCTTAAACTTAATCTTAACTTGGGAAGTAATTTCATTTTATTAAAATGGATAGAAGTATGACATTTCTCTTGGTATACTTCTTACAGGCTATTTTGAGGACAGAAGGCCAGCGTCCAACATGGACCCGTACGTGGTGACTTCGATGATTGCTGAAACCACCATTCTCTGGAAACCTTAGAAGGAACCTTGGAAAGCTAAGTACGGGAAAAATGAGGCTATTTGTTGGACAAAATCTGTTCAATTATCATTTGTTCTTTTGCACTTCCTTTGCGCTGTTAATAGTTTGGATAATTGGGTTCTTGATTACCATTCAGACTACGGTAGTTAGTTGAGAACAAGTCTGGTCATTTGGCATGCAGATTGCTGAAAACTTGTTTATATTTCGTTTAATAGATGTCGGTTAAAATTTAATTGCATGGCTTGTTGTTAAAGATTGATGATCATATTTGTATTTCGTACAAAACTCAGCTTAATCATTGAGAATGGTTTTTTTTTTGGGTCCAGCCTGCACTTAGAAAAGTATTAGAACACTTTTATTGAATTTTTTTCAATAGCTATTTAAATACTTTCGAAGTCCAGATTGAAAAAAAAAAAAGAAAAAAAGGAGGGAGTAACCACAACATTTTCGTAATCAGGGTGCAACTTTCATTGTCATGTTTAAACATTAACAGCATGTTTGGTTCACGAGATTGGATTGAATAAGATTAAATTTATAAGATAAGACATGATTGGATTAGATACGATAAGATATATAACTTAATCATATGTTTGAGTGATTATGATATAGATATTGGATTAGATATAAAAATTTACTTATATAGACAAAAATGCCCTTAAATTACAATTAAACCAATATTTTGTTTTTTTACCATATTTTAATGGTTAAAATCCTCTATTTTGGTTTTTGAACTATTGTATGAACTTCTAATTTAGTCTTTAAACTAAAAAAATTCTTGATTTGGTCCTTACTATTTACCACTTTTACCCTGATTTGGTTTTTTCGTTAAAAATCTTGTGACATGACTTGTTACTTCACGGTTACAA